AGTGATGCGGCCTACTGCTTTGGGTGAGAGCTGAGCGATGGAGGCTGCCTGCACCGCGTCCTGCCTGCCCTGCGCACGCACACGCCTGCCCGTCGCACAGGCCACCAGAGTCTGTCTGGCCCCAGCCTATGCTGGACCAGTTACATGGATCCGGCCCAGTTCTCCAATTCCTTCATGTCGTCGTCTTCTTCTTCCTTCTTCTTGACTGTGTGGAGACAGAAAAGGTGATTTTTGAAGGGTGCCTGGAAGCCAGGGCTGTGCTCCGCTGTGTAAGCACACAGCCCTGTCCTGCAGCCAGCTGAGGCCTACAGCATACTGCTCTTTGGGCCCACAAGCTGCCACGCAAATTCAGGAAACCAGGCACACCTTCCACCACAACTCCCCTCAGCCCTCAGCAGGGGCAGCCATACCAGGAGGGCCTGTTTTACACTGGGGGTCCCTTACTCCTGAAGCACTCAGGGTTGGGGGAGAAGCAAGACCATCCCTCCCAAGAGATGCAATCCTTGCCAAGTCGACTCCATTTGGAGTCGCTGGAGCCATGCTTTGCAAGGCTGCCTCTGTTAGTCACTGATTGGTGAGGGGCCTCTCTTTACCATGGCAGAGGGACAGGGTCACACCCTGTTCACACCCTGCTAGCAGGCCCTTGTCTCCACTCCAGATGGGCAGTTTTGTCTCTCTAGAAACTCTGTGTGGAGCACGTGGGAGAAGAGGGAGAAAATGCAGGCAAGGAAATGATGGTTTTACAAAGCAGGTCTCCAAACCAGCCAGAGCTGGTTCATTCCAGAGAGCACATAGCACAGAGTCCTGGATGGAGCAAGACTTAAGTTCTCACACCTCTGCACAGTGCCTAGAACTTTCCCTTATTAGGGGATAAGAAAAATCATTCTAGAACAGAGCAATGCCTGAAGACATCATAGGCAGCGGCTGCTCATCTGGTGGAGAGAAGTCAGGGCTATCCTATAAGACAGCCCCACTGCAAGCCTTGGAATTATCTGGCCATGTCAGCAGTGCTGAGGTTCGAAATCTGTTCTGCAAATGACATTGGCATCGTGATCATCACAACAGATCCTCTTTGGCTCAGAACCCAAACCGAAGTCAACTGACCATGCGATCACCCCCTTCTCATGGTGCCAGGGTGTGTCCCAACTGTGGGCAGACTCACCAGGTTTGGATGGTAGGGCTACAGAGGGGACATTTGGTAGTGGAACTGTTTCGGGCCCACTGATGTCCAGCAAATTCTTGTCTAGCTCCTCCTGTTCGAGTTCCTCCAACTCTGCCAAGAGCTCATCCTGCAAAAGGAAGTGTGGTGAAACCCTCCCTGCAGCCATTCCTCCTCCTGATGCCCGGTGAACCTTCTGAGGAGGCCACTGGCATATGTATGCATCTGGGGTCCCTGCTACGAGCTTCTTGGGTGGAGGGGCTGTATCTTTTCACGTCTTTGCAGGGGGAAATACTGGGACCTGGACCAGGACCGCGCATATGCTAGGCAAGTGCTCTACCACGGAGCTACATACCCAGACTCTTTTTCTTCCTTTTTAAAGTTTTGAGATGGTTTCTGGCTGTTGCCCAAGCCAGCCTTACACTTCCTGTGGTCCAGGCTGCTTGTTCTCCTGCTCCAAACTCCTGAGCTGCTGGGTTACAAGCCTGCACCATCAACCCAGCACCATCCTCTTTGTTGCCGTTGTTCTGAGATTTTATATTACGTATACGGGTGCTTTGCCCACATCTCTGTCTGTGCACCATGTGCATACAGTACCCCAACAGAAGGACTTGGAGTTACAGACAGTTGCTAGCTGCCAAGTGAGTGCTTACACCCTCTTTCTGGCCTCCAGGGGAGCAAGGCATGCAAGTAGTGCGCAGATAGACATACATGGGCAGGCAAAATACCCTTAAAGCAAAAAATCAAAATTATGTTCTCTTTTTCTTCTTTTTTGAAACTGGGTCTCACTGCCACTGGCTGTCCTGGAAAACTCTATGTAGACCAGGTTAGCTTCTGCCTTTTGAATAATGGGATTAAAGGCACATGCCACTATGGCAAGCACAAAATAATATTAAAAATTAAAAAAAAAAATTCAGAATCCAAGGAGGTACACACTATGCCTGTTGACATCTGGAGTTGACACACTATGTTGAGCCTGAGGCTTGTCACCTATGAGACCCATGTGATCTTCAAGAAACCACTCACCTCGTCAAACTCTTCCCCAAAGCCTACAGGTTTGGAAATAGCTGTGGAAATCTCCTCTGCAAGTTCTTGCTGGTCAGCAATGTCCTGCATTAACTCATCCACTTTATCAATGTCCCTTGAAATGAAATGAACAGGTTATCACTTTAGCTAAGACTGGTCTGAACAGAAGCCCTGCACATACCCTCTGCTTCTTAGCACCCAGTAACTCTCCTTTAGGAAACTGCCTGTAATCATTGCCTTCTTCCTTCCCTTCAGAACTGGGAATCATGAGCTGGTGACCAGAGTACTTTGCCCCAGAACCCACATAAAGGTGGAAGGAAAGAACTGACTCCCCAAAGTTGTCCTCTGACCCCTACATCCACACAGGCAGGGGCACACACACTCAAAATAAATGTAAAATTGGAAATCACAGAATCACGAAGATGGAAGTCCTTAGACATCATTTAGTCCAGCACTGAAGGAAAGTAGGCTTAGCATCGGGTGGAGTCAAGGACCCTCCACCTCTACCCCAGATCTGTAAACAGATTTGAGACCACAGGACTTTAACTCTAGTGCCAAGACCAAGTCTTCTTCAAGCCCCAAAGCAACTCTAAACAGGAGGTGGTAAAAATCACAAACCACTCCAGGACAGCCTCCAAAACAATACAGAGAAACCCTCTCGAAAAACAAAACCAAACAAAAAATCATAAACCACAAAACTGAGCCAGGCCCTTCCCTACTTAAACATCTATGAAGTCCCAAAGGAAAGGTAAATGCCTGTGTTTTAAACACTGTGTGTCACACAGATATTCAAGATGGTCTGTGTACTTCACAACATACACACTACTTACTATCTGTTGTTCTAAATGTTAAAGGATGCAGCCTTCGCCTGACAGTGCACTCCCACACCTCATGTATGTCAGGCAATGCTTCCGCACCGCTTGTCTCTAGAGCAAAGAGTAGCAAATTTCCCCAGCCCACTGATAAATATTTTAATGTTATTTATAAAGACTGAGCAGCTCCAGACAGTATGCAAATGAAGGACATGGCTGCTATACATCGAAGGCCATAGGTGGCCAAAGCAGCAAATGCTCCAAGTACCCCTCAGGGCCAGCTGAAGCATCAAAGAACTAAAATAAATACAGGGTTTTTTCATGGAAAGACCCTTGTTCTTTACAGCTGGAGCCAAGGTGAGTGTGTAGTTCTCAGGCCACTGGCATAGAAGCATCCACAGGGAAGGAAGGACTGCTGAGAACAGAAGCAGAGGGCAGCCGGGACAAAAAGGTCCCCCAAAGCGGACTTAAGAACAGACTCAAAGCCCTGGGGGAAAGCACACATGCTATGGCCCAATCCCACCCTCGATCAGCATAGGCTGCCACCATCTCTGTGACAGTCTGATGAACATCGGTGACTGAGAAGACCTTCTTCTAAGGACTATCCAACTTGGAACTAAGCCTGTCACAATAATCTAGAACCAGGAAAAACAATTTCTCTTTCCACCCCTGAGCTCTCGTAGAAACAAAGGCAGCAGGCCACAGTTCCCTCAGAAGCTACAAAGAGGGAGCCGACCACAATGAGGCCGTGGCCTCAGCAGCACCCTCCCTCCAGAGTCCTCCCCCCAGCAGCGGCACGCACATGTTGTCGTGGGCAGCCTTCATGGCCTTGGCAGCGTAGCCCATGTTCTTGAGCACCTCTGTGTTGGTGTTGGCGTTCTCCAGGGCCTCCCGCTGGAACTCGATGGTTGACAGGGTGCCGTCGATCTGCGCCAGCTGCTTCTCATATCGCTTCTTCCGTTTCAAAGCCTGCAGGGCCGCTGCAGGGAGAAGGGAGACTTGAGCATGTCTGGCACGGTGTGTGGTGAGAGGACACCGAGCCCTTCCCCCAAATGTGCTCCATGCACCTCTGCTGCTGCCTCCTTTGTAAGAAAGCTAATAGCAACTTCTCCCAGGAGCACATTCAGTTTTCTAAGAAAATGCCAAAGTTCACACACCCCACAATGCAGACAGGAAGGAAGCACACAAACAGTTTAAATTCTCTGGTAACCACATCTGTTGCAAAAATCAAAGTATGGATAGGCTCCCAAAGGAAGAATGCTTTCTGGGGTCAAACGGTCGCTCACAGACAGAGGTGAGTGGCTTAGCTTCCCTGCTAGGTTCACTGTGAGGAGGAAATGTGCTAACATACAGAGTAGCCTAGCGTATTAGCAAAGAGGCTAGCACACCGGAAAAAAAAAAAAACCCTGCTGGCTCTAATTATTATAAAGCACCATTGCAGTACCACTTCACACCAACTAAATGACAAAAATAATAAACAAGCATTAGATCAGTTTGGTTAAAATGCTATGTCACAAAAAGCCAACAGTTCTGCAAATTGTTATGGTTCTGAACGTACAGTGGGAATGGAGCATAGCATAAAGATGTCTCCTCACTCTCTGAGCCAGTAATTTCTGTCTGAAAATCAACTGAACAAAACCAGAAAGCTTTATGCCTAATGATGGCTAGTACAACATAGAAAACACAAACACAACTGAAGACGCGGCTCCTGCCATGAACAAATCTGGAGTTTAACCATTTAGTCAAATCAATGGCATTTGCTCTGTTAGTTCTCAGCCTGTGGGGGGAGAGAGAGATCATTTTGTCTGAGATCCAGTCAAGGCAAGCATTTCAATAAGATCAATCTGTGGCAAAGCTAGGACCAAACTATATACAGCTCCCGCTCAAATGTAGGCTCCTTCCCTTTACAATCTCAGAAAGGTAGCCCAGCAGGCTTAGGCAGAAGGAACAGCTGGACTGGGCTGGGCTGGGTCAGGGAAGCTGCACATACATGCACTCATGCATGGACACGTCCTCATCCAGGAGGTGTGCACCAGTGCCACCCATGCCAGCTGCAGGTCACGACAACCTCCTCTACAGAGGTGGTTTCTGTCTGTCCTTCCACTTGCAGTTGCCTATCCTACAACCTGCAGGGCACATGATCCACAGGATAGCTATCAACACCCAACATAAAACCACTGTAAAGTTATTTGTGTAACTCAACTCAACTGTACACTTCTCCACTGAGGAGTCTGTAGATGACAGCATTGTGCCCAACGTCTGAAGGTTGAAGACACCTGACTATTAGCCTAGGCATCGGTCTTTCGGTTTTTCAAGACATTCCTCTGTGTTGCCCTGGCTGTTCTGGAATTTCCTTGTAGACGAGGCTGGCCTCAAACTCAGAGATCCACCTGCCTCTGCTTCCCAAGTGCTGAGATTAAAGGAGTGTGCCATCATAACCAGCATATTTAGATCTTTGAAAGAGAACATTTAAATTGGTTAGGACTGAGAGTATAGTTCAATCCTGGGTTCAACCACTAACATTATAGAAAATCCAACTCCCCCAGCCTGAGGAAGAAGATAAAGGTTCTCCATCTGAGGGTCACGACCCTGTTGAGGTCTCCTATCAGATATTTACTATACAATTCATAACAGTAGTAAAATTGCAGCTATGATTTTATGGTTGGGATCACAACATGGGGAACTGTATTAAAGGATCACAGCACTGGGAAGGTTTGAGAACCACTGGAATAGGAGAATCCGAAACAGATGAGAAGAGCAATATACTACTGCCCCTCATTAAAAGTTTGAAAAGACCCTGACTCTGCTCTGACTTAGACTCAAAGGGCAGACCCAGCACCCTGTGTCCTTGATAAGTCTTTGTAAAATATATAGATTAATAATTATGATTGATAATTAAGACTGAAGTAGTAAGTAAGGAATCCTAGTCATTGGCCAGCGGCATTGTGCCTAATGTTAATCTCTGTGTATTTTGGGCGCCCACGTGGCAGCAGGGCTTGAGCAGATGGCGGAAAGAGTTATCGTTACACCCTACATCTCGTGAGTGTTCTTTCTCAGACTCCCCTACTCTCACCACCCAGGGCTCAACTGAGAACAGAACCTGTCTACAAGAGTCAGGACTGGGGCTGGAGAGATGGCTCAGAGGTTAAGAGCACTGCCTGCTCTTCCAGAGGTCTTGAGTTCAATTCCCAGCAACCACATGGTGGCTCACAACCATCCGTTATGAGATCTGGTGCCCTCTTCTGGTGTACAGATATACATGGAAGCAGAATGTTGTATACATAATAAGTAAATAAAATCTTAAAAAAAAAAAAAACAGAGCTCCATGGCTGAGCACCTGTTTAATCCCCAGTACAAGGGATGGACAGACAGACAGGCACAGGGACAAGTGGACACACACACACACACACACACACACACACACACACACACACACACACCAAGAATAAATGACTTGGAAACAAATGCCAATACACCAGGGAAATAAGGAAGCAAGCTCCAGTGAATGAATGATGGCTACTAGCCATCTTTGCAGACCAATATCTATCTAACACGTCAGCTGGAATGCAGTTAGTTAATATATGCCAAGTTGAATCTTTTAACTCCATGCATTTTCATACACAAATATTCCCATCCTAGCACTTAAGGTAGCTATGTAAGGTGTGCTGCATTTTTTATTTAATAATACTGTCCATTTACAATGGGCTTATCAGCGTGACCAGAAGAGCATATGTTCTATATAGGAGTCTCCTGCCTTTTTCTTGGTTCATACAATAGCATCTTTTGCAAGCCCATCACTGTAAGGTAAACATGCAAAAGCTAGGGGAAGGTCCCCAGAAAATACCCTGGTCTCCAGGGTCACCCTCCTGCTGTGGGTTTATAAAGTTTCATCCCAGAAAGCAGTGGATTCCCCAGGCTGGTGTCTAGTAGGGACTATGGATATTTTTTCCTCTTACCTCATATTTAACCTGTATTTTTCAACTACCTGACATCTCTAAAAAGAAAGAACACATTCTAAGAAACCCCTAAAATATGTTTCACAACAACAGTAACCCTGACAGGCCATGGTGGTGCACACCTTCAATTCCAGCATTCGGGAGGCAGAGACAGGTGGATTTCTGTGAGTTCAAGGCCAGCCTGGTCTACAGAGTGAGTTCTAAGACAGGGTTCAAGCTATAGAGAAATCCTGTCTCGAAAAACCAAAACCAAACAAAACACCAAACCAAAATTGAAACAAAACAAAACACCAAAATAAACCCCTGTAACCATGAAAAGTGCCATCTGGTCCACAAGGATGTGTGTGAACACAAGTATCACAGCACTCCCTACACCATACAGATGTGAGACACTACAGTGAGGATAACTTAGGGGAAGCAGGTGCTCCCACGGGTCACGTGACATGCTCCCTCTGAACACTGTCCACGTAAAACTCCCTTCTTCCCACAGGGATGTCTACCTGGGGTGGAGAGTTTGAGACAAGGCCTTTCCTATACTATAGTTCAGGCAGGCTTGGAATTTACTGTAGTCTAGACTGGCCCTGAACTCTCAGCAATCAGCATACTCAGCCTCCCAGGTGCTAGGATTATAGGTATGAGCCACCACACCCAGCTCTAACCAGATTTCCAACCAGACTCGTTTTCCTAAGTAGCCAAAGTCCACAGAGCCCAAACCCAGTATTTACATAAATAAATGCAAACTAGCTTGTAAGGACTTGCCAACCTTCCCAAATTCTGGGTGGTTGTATTAAAGAAATAGCTTCCAGGCTAATAACAGCTGTTCATCAAAGCCAAATCTTCAAAGAAATAGTATCCAAAGAAATTCATCTTCAGCCACAAAACTCAGTGTCATTTGTAAATTCACTGGCTTTAGCAGCAGAAATTTAACCCTGCTAACAGAAGTTTACGAGGTTGTTTTTAGATGAGAAAAAGTCTGTGAAATCTCCATATTTAATTATGCCTTTGCCAGTTCCAAGAGAGTAATTACAGCAGCAATTACAGAATCTAATAACCAGCTTTATTGGCTCTGAAAGCTGAAGCAAAAGCAACTGCAACCATGTTGAAATAAACATTGGTCTCCAGACAGTTGCTTCATTAGACCCTCCTAACAGCTATTTAAAAGACAGCATGCAAGAGACACCCCAAGAAGCAGAGCAACTAGTAGGGAAAACATTCATTCACCCAGGACTGGAAACTCCTTCTACAAGGCATCTGACAGTGACAACAGAGGATGCGTCAGTTGGATGTAACTAGGGAAGATTTCCTTTCTTGTAGACCAAGATCAACTAGATTCTCCTGGAAGAAGAGAGGTCTAAGTGTTGTGATGTGCCCCACATTCAGTACAGGTGAAAATAGCTCAAAGCATCTCAATGGACTTGAAGAAAGCATATCTGCACACTCCCTATGGGCACGGAGAGCCCCAGCATGGAAAAGGAGGGCAGGAACCAGCTCTCACAGAAGTGAATGGCAGTGTCTGCAGTCCTTCCAAAAGCCATGAATTACAACTGAAAGCAAACATCAGAAGTGATGACAGGTTGCGGGTGAGGGGTGTGTGCACTTCCTTCCTAATCAGCATAAACCACACAGCAAACACCAGCACACTCCAGAGGCTATTTCCCTCAAAAAGGCAACACTGCGCCTCCAGCATTAATAAGACTATGAAGAACCCTCAGTGGCGTGGGCATGCATGGTAGGACCACAGCAGGCAGTGAGCCAAAGGCAGATGAGGGGGCTTGATTCACCTGCCTCTAGCCATCTTTCAAGGGCTCTTGCCTCATTCTGCTGTGAATGAAGATTTCTGGAGAACCATGACCACAACTAGGCATCAAGCCACTGATCATGTGCTGGAAGCAGAGCAGGCGCTCATCTGTCATCCATCCTGTGTATGAGAACAAGACAGACACAGGCACTCATCTGTCATCTGTCCTGTGTATGAGAACAAGACAAGACACAAAGTCAAAATCACAGTTAAATGAAACTAAAGA